CATGAAGATCCACCTTGGAAAAGAAAAGTAGAGAAAGAAATTGAAGTGAATTATCAGTACTCGATGAACTGACAAGAGGAACAAATGTAAAGACTAGGAAAAAGCGGAAGGGTCAAAAGAAAAACAAAATTAGGAATTAAAATGAAAATGAATAGAAATTAAAGAAGAAAGTACAGTAAACAATACAACTAAAGACTCAAAGAATCAGACTCTATGAAAAAAGATCAAAGTTCTACAGACAGAACAAGATCTTTCATACCAATGCAAAGAAATTTTACAGAAAAATAGACAAACAAAAATTGAAGTGACGCCTACTCCAGCAATGGAAGTACTTATACAGTTCTGGGAAATATTATGCAAGAAGGAGAACGAATGAAAAATAAACACGAACCATCATGGGCGGAAATCACAGAAGAGGATGTTGAATGGGCACTAAAAAAGCACACAACGGGACATCTCCATGAATAGATAAAATTCCTAACTTTGGGCTCTATTATTTAAATACAGCACACAAAAACAACCAAAGAACTTCAAGAAATGGTCGACGCTCCTACTAAAAGTCCGACATGAGTAACTAAAGTAATTACCTTCCTTCTGTCCAAGAATGGTGACACAAATGTCCTAAAAAACTACAGATCAATTACATGTCTTGCCACTACTTACAAACTGTTGATATCTATTCTGACAAAACAGACATTCCTTCTTAGAAAAAAATGACATACTACCACTTGAACAAAAAGGGCGCAAACGTGGCTCTTATGGATATAAAGACCAAGATCTTAAAATCTTTAAATATATACAACGTATCATCACGTCGTCACCAATTTCATCAAATATGTCGATATGGAAAAACAATACTTCATCTCAATCTTCCTTGTTTTGTCTTCCATCTGACTTCAAAGGTCAACCCTAGGAAGTCGGAGCAGCGATACACTTCCTCTAAAATAATAGTCTGCTAAACTATTATTTAACAAATGCCTCTACATGCCTTAAGTCTTCCCGCAGATTTAGTAGGTAGTGTGACCATAACAGAAATCGAAAAACAATGATGATGATGATAATAATAATAATAATAATAATAATGTATGATAGTAATATTAGGAAAATTAATGACAAAGTGGAAAAAATTTCCCATGTGACGTATTTCGTCCTTTAGGACTTCATCGGATTATAGTTATATTTATGTTAACGCAATTACACATGCGCATGAAGGTGGGAAGACGCTTAAATTTTAAACTTTTAAATTTTCTTGGCCGATCTTCTATTATCGCAGTGTAGGATTCTTATTAAGAAAAGTGATAGAAAATAGTATGAAACTGGATAGCTAGACTATATACCTAAACACATTAGAAAAAACAATAATTTTAAAAGTTTATAATTTCGGCATCCCCTCTCCTTCATGTGCATGTGTAATAACATAAACATTAATCATTACTTTATCCTGATAAAGACCAAAAGGACGAAACGCGTTACACGAAAGAGTTTTTCCACTCATCATTATCTTGTCATTAATTTCTTAACATTGTTCTGGCATATAAAAATATATGTATCATTTTCTTTCATGATATTAATATATAACAAAACACGATGAATTATTGTCAAAAATTGTTTTAATTGATAATAAGAATCGAATTCATTAGCATGCACTCATCAGAAAGTTAAATAAAAACCGATAATTATGTTAAATGTGAGTTTTATTTGTTTTTTCTTAATTTTTGTTCATGACTACGAAATGCCTTTATATTGATTTCAGTTGTCTTTACAACACACGCATGTGCGTTCGTACTTTCTTGTTTGTATCTACGAGGGTCGGTAAAGAAATAACACCTGTTCTATAATTATACCAGACTTAATAGTAGAATAACACAAAACATAATAAATGACCTCCAAAATCTCAGAATGCCAAATCTAATCTCTTTTCTTCTCAGTCGTTACATCCCACCTTTGAATAAGAGCATGTATACCCGCCTCGTCTTATCTTCTTAGTCATGTGCATATTATTGTCTCTTTTCACCTCACCATTATTGATGAACCCCTGATTTCTCTGTGCCTTCACTGCGTCAAGCAGGTGAAATTCTGAGGGTGTCAGACCAGGATTGTAAGGCGGATAAATGAAGCTTGTCTACTCATACGCTGTGATTACTGATGAATTCTTTCAAATCCATGTTGCAAAGAAATAAATCAAATGTGAACTGGATCAAAGGAGACATAATCTGAGGTTGGCAATATAATTTATGATGACATCTTTATTTGTAAAATGTATTTATTTAGAAGAAATAATGGCGCTTTGTATATGAAGTGAGAGGGATCAAATCAATTACCTAAATCGGGCATACTACCACCTCCTTGAGTAGATGTCTCATGTGTCATTTATCAGATCAAAGAGTTTTAGCAAATAATTTATCTAACCACAGTTTACAAGAACCCTTAAGAAGAATTCTGGTCGAAAACACTAAAATTCTAGTCACATTACCGTAAATTTCTCGCTATAAGAGAGGCCCTGTATATTAAAGTTCTCACTCCTCCTATCAATCTCACGTTATTTAACAGAATGGAGTGTTAAAAGTTAAAAGAAATTTGAAAGACCTTCACTCGAATTCCAGCTGCGCTCAATTTACGAAGGCTCAGAATAAACGCTCTGTTCAGGACGGTAGACGAAAATAATAATACGGTATAAAAACGGAGCGTCTACTTAAATAAGGGCATCAACTAAAATAACGTTTAACGTGATAAAAAACTGTCTTTGTTATAAATAAACAATTTATTACTTTAGAAATTGTTTTGTTTACGTTCGGATATGAAATTGAGCAAAAAGTAAATTTTTCCGAGTCTGGAACGAGAATGATATTTGCATATAAGGTCCTATTCCGGCATGCTTAATCGGCGACGCTCTTTGTGCCAAATCGGTCTAAAGCACGTCGAATCTAGCAAAGAGGACGCAAGTTCGAACCCGCGTTTCATTTAGCAGGAGAAACATTCGTTATATCCGTTGTATGATTTTTCAGACACTTCCCAACGGTTCCGCACGAATTCATCTTTCTGACAAATCGATCATAGTTCGTGGCCAAGTGGTTAGAACGTTGGATCTCAAACCATGAGACACCCGGGTTCAAATCATACAATATATGTATAAACCATTCTATGAAGAAAAAAATATCCACATATTTGCTTACAAACCATTCTATACATATTCTTTATATAGAGTGTGAAGAATAAACTGTCGCCATTTTATATTTTTGATTTCGTGCATGCTTGTTTGTTTCTGATTTTGACGACTGCACCGTAGAGTAGGGTCTGTTGAGCACCGTCTGTAAAAAAGTGAGCACCAGAAATTTGGAATCAGCATGATGTACTTCTTGGCATTCACGCTGGAAGTTCCACTGCGAACATTTCAGAGTGTTTGGGTGTCAATCTGAGGACAAAGAAGAGGATTCGGAAAGAATTAGATGAGTCTAAAGGTGATTACCAAGGTGTTTGGAGTGATCACTGGTGATGGCGATATTATGCCTCCGTTCATCTTCCCACAGGGTCTCAGACTCAACATGGAGGCCTACATTAAATGAGGAAGTAGTGCTGTCTCGGGTAAAGAGGGTGGCTGCTGAGAGAGTCTAATCTGGAATATGATTCTACAACATGCCACACAGTCATGACTACCAGACAATTTCTGCAATCACATCATACCTTGCATCTGGCTACTCAAGTGCAACACCCTTGATTTTTATGTGTGGCGTGCATTTGAGCGATAGAGCAATAAAACTCCTTGTAACACAAAGGATAAAATGAAGGCAAGGATTATAGCAGTACTCACCAACTTAAACAATGAAACCATCCAGAAGAGTAGCAAGAGATTCTGAAGTTATTGAAGCCAATGGTGATTTTATTGAATAAATTTACTCTTTAGAATTTCAGGATATTTTTGTGTAATTTTGGTAAATATATCTGTTATATATCTGTTAAAATTAGATGTCAGTATTATTTTAACTTTTTGCGTAATTTAGACGACAATTTATCCATCACACCTATACACACACACACGCAGACACATATATATGTATATGTAGATACATAGATAGATAATATTAGTGGTCAATATATATATATATATATATATATATATGCATAAATTTCCAAGAAGATAGAATCCAGGTAGAACTCAATGTCCAGGACAGAGTCAGAATATAATATAAAAGGCTCAAACACTAATATTCCATGGTTATAATTTATTACATTGGAATCGTAATTACGATTCCAATGTAATAAACAATGGAATATTAGTGTTTGAGCCTTTATATTATATATATATATATATATATATATATATATATATATATATATATATATATATATATATCCTACTACCCAATACCCATGTTTGAATAGAGGATATTATCTTTTTCACTGTGAATTAGATCTACAGGTTAGCGCATAAGACAAGCTTATATTATTACTAGAATTTAATCAGGATTTTTAATTTCCGGTTTAAACACTTCGAATGAAAGACTTCAAAAAAAAAAAAAAAAAAAAATGAAAATCAGAGTTCAATGCTTGTTTTATAAAAGTCTTAAGGAAATAATGGTGTACTTAAAATAAACAGTAACCATTTAAAATATTCTCCCATTCTGCCTCTTTGTTGCTGCTGTTCAAGCTTCCCGTACTTACTTTTGAAAACGCTCTGAGTTATCAGAAGAAAAATGATGGACAAGCATCGGCGAAAGGAAGACCGGAAGTTCGTGCCCAATATGCCGGCTTGTTTTGCCGCCTTTTCATCTGATTTCCCATGAGGCTACGGCGGCGATTCTCCTTTCATCTTGGCCGACATATTTGTTATTTGATTGATTGATTCATTGATTTGAGTCGATTCACTGAGTGGTCAGCCAGTCAGACGGTGGAGTTTACACAGCTCAAGTTGGAAAGCGAAATCTGTTCGTTTTCAATGGTGAGTAGACTTTGCTTGCTTCCATCTTGCAATGGAACACATTCAGATATGGAAAGGGCGGCGCATGTCAATATGCGCTGTGCGTTTTCTTTCTCTTGATTATGATAGGTATACCTGTAGCTCACTTTGCCCGAGGAGGTATTCGTCGATTTATGCATGTAAGCAGGTGTTCGTACTGAAGAAAATGTCCGAGTGTAATCATTTATATAATGAACAGGCTGGCAATATTATTTATGCTAGACTGACTTCTTAAGAGAAAGGCCCTTTATAAAGTAGAGGCACATAAAAAATGTATTTTATTCTTAAGAACGGATTGTCAATATGTATATTTAGTGGGATGTTTCTTACCAAAAATTTTACAAAATGCAGGAACAGGCTGGCCACAGTCTGGTGCTCATTATGAAAAACATATACTGACTTGAAACCAGGCAAATACTCATGAAACACTCTCACATACACGCACGTAGGCACATACACGCACGCACGCACTCTCTCTCTCTCTCTCTCTCTCTCTCTCACACACACACACACACACACACATATATATATTTATTCAAATATATATTGTTAAATATAAAAGACAATGAATGTCTATTATGTTTGATCATGAGCCGTTCTTAACTTCGTATGGTTGCATTAATTTCGGGAGAAAATAAAGACAAATTTGTCCAACATTTGGATATTTTTTATTATGCTGTTCCTCGATCTAAAGCGTCTGGCTCACATGAGCCATCTTCAGAGTGGTTATATGGACATTTAAACAAAGATATCCATTATCAAAGATGTTATTCTGTTATGTTGACATAGAAGATTGCTATGCGACGATAATGGTCGCTGAATAGCAAACGGAGGTCGTAAATTCATGATGCAGGTTTATGACGTTGTGCCTTGCAAGAGAAAGAAATATTAACAACAGAACTATATATCTAGATGCAATGTAATGTGTAGTTTGAAATGCAATTTCTTTCAGTGTAGGTTGCTTTGTTTTAATGTAGATGGCCTCCAATATATTTATATATGAAATTTAGTTCAAGAAGGCGTAAAATTAATCGCTGTCGTGAAGGTTAGTATCAATGATGCATAATCAGTCAGAAGGCAGAAAAGATTCTCTTAAAAAAGAGAAGTTTTGTTTTGGAGGCTTTAAAATAGCCTAGAAAACAACAAATTTTAGTTCATTTTTTAAATCAGCTGCCAGTTTGACCTCCTCGTACATATCAGATTTACTATTAAGACAGAAGTAAATAGTTGTCATCAGCATAGCTACAGAGTTGAGAGCTGCTGACATCAGGAAGGTCATTTAAGATAATTAAAAACAACACGTAGATCCATAGATAAAGCCGTAGGGAACACCTGCATTAATGCAAAATGATCTAGAAGAGTGGCTATTCTAGATAACATTAATTTTGTGATTTGATAAGAAAGACTGAATCAGTTCAAAAATTTGTCTAGAAATACAAAAACTTTTCAACTTGTGAAGAAGATCAGTATGCCTTTGAGATATCCAAAGCAACATCCCAAATGTCACCATTCTTAACTAAAGTTTGATAGACTCTTTCAACAATAATTTTTAATGCATTAGGAATTGAACTAGAGAAGCAAAAGCCATACTGATTATTTGAAAGATGCTTAACCAAGTCAGAGTTGATTAGAGCCTCTAGTATTTTGCCAAAAAGAGATAGAAGGCTAATAGGCCAACAGCTAGAAAGGTCAGAGTGTTCTCCTGAATTCATAGAGACTGGAACTACAGAAAAGGATCTCCAACATGCAGGAACGCATTTATTGTAGTGCTTATAGAGTACAGGGGAGAACATTTATTGTAGAGCTTAGAGAGAACAGGAGCCAGTTCAAAAGCACATTTCTTGTGGATGTAGCAGCGATACTTTCAAGTACACATGTTTTGTGAGAATCCAGTTTGAAAATGATAGCAGAAACCATATGCAGAATTATATGCATATCACTCAATAGAGACTCAGTTCTAAGTGCAAAGGCAGGCAAATATACTCCAGATGAGTCAAAAGTAGAATTTGAAGAGAATTTACGAGTCAGACATTCTTCTTTATCAGCAAAAGATGTTAACACATGCAGCATGTTTGTCAGGAGCTGGACTACTGGATTGACGTGTGTCGCGTCAAAGGTGGTGCATATATTGAAAATTTGTGAAGCTTTGTGAAATCGGTTATAAAATCTACATTCTTTTGAATATCTTTTTCGAATTTTGATAAATAAATATTTTATTGTTCAATATAAAGCTCATTTAATTTAATTTCTCTGGGACATGTAGTTACTCAGATATTGATAGTAACTCAGATAATGATATCAATAGTTTTGGGGAACCCTGTATATTAAACATACGAAAATACAAACAAATATATTAAACATACGAAAAAAACTCACACTGTGCAGATATACTTCAACGTCAGATTTTGGGAAGTGGGCCGGGACGAGAAGTTTCCTCTAATATCCTTTATATAAAAACATGTACACATATGTATTCAAAGTCATATATAACATATGCACACACGTATATATTGGATGTTGATTTTCAAGAAAGCAGACCTTCGATTGGAAGATTGGTGCAACTCAATCTTTGTTCTGTCAGTGTCAGACCAAACTAAGTTTATCTATCTATCTATCTATGTTCGTGTAACGTGCCTGTAGGTAGGTTAATGTTGTTATATGCATCGATATATTTTGGTGTTGTGTATGATAAATTCATATTTATTCATTTGACTCCATCACTGCCTCCACGTACATCATCACCAACACCCACTTCATACCACGTTAATTCCCCACCAACACCACCCGAGGGTATCTCAGCCTTATCATACACTTCCAGGCATGTCAGTACCCCACCCTCGACCATGGCAAGGTCATTTTACAAACTACAAAGAGACACATCGGTGATGAAGCTCACCAAAAGAAGGAAGAACAGATTTTCGATCTTAAGGGAAACATAATGAAACTATTTTCTTTTTCTTTTTATTTGCTGAATTTCGGACAACAGAAAAAAAACACACCATCGAAACGGTCTTTTGAGTTGCTGCTTTTGTCAGTTGGCAACCCTATAACACTTTCTACTACCCTACCCCAGGCTCCAAACCATCGCTAAGCCAAGTTCTGTCATTTCAATGTAAACATTACTGCATATGAAAGACTGGTGGATTAATTTATCGCTTGAGGCTGTCTGTCAGTCGGTATAGGCACTCCTTTCAACTTCATCAGGGCGAAATGAGACCCTTAAGGAAGCTGGCGTTTTCTCGGTTTTCATTACTACTAAATCTGTTAGAAATACAATCGGCTAAACAACGATCGATTTGCCAAACAAATTCTACCTATATCTCAAAAATCGATCTAGGTACAGATAAACATCTTTCATAATTCCATCTATCTCTTTCTCACTCTCTCTCTGTCTTTTCCTCTCTCTCAAACACACACTATCTGTTTCTGTCTCTCTATGTCACTTTGTCTCTGTCTCCTCCACCCTGTTTCAATCTATCTATCTATCTATCTATCTATCTATCTATCTATCTATCTATCTCCCGACTTGAGATCAGTCAGGAAGGTGACTTTTTGATGTTACCCGTCTGAGATGGCGACCTCAGTGCGTGGGAACTTTGGAAAGTGTTTAAAAAGCATACACCGGATTACCCAAACCTTGTGAATGAATTTGTGTGGACACGACCGTTCTGAAGGCTCCGGTGTTTGTGCTAGCGTCGAGGGTTTAGTGGCGTTGTTCAAACTGTTAATCCTGCCAGAGTAAGCGCACAGTATAAAGCACAGGTGGGTTTTGAATAAATACAAATATGCCTAAGTAGCTGTCCTAGCAGACGGTGGTCTCGGAAAACGAGTAGCTTTCAATCAATCACACACACACACACACACATATATATATATATATATATCAGTGGACATTGAAGTCAACACCCAGAGGCGACAGTCTGTTTCATGGCTTGACGATTGCGTATAAGCATGAAGCAGGCATCGCTGCTCAATGTTGACTTCACTTTTATATTTACATACATTCTATCTTTGATATTGAGCATTTAAGCCTTTTAAAACTACTGATATATATATATATATATATATATATATATATATATATATATATATATATTGTCATCCACAGACAGGCTGTTTCGCTGTATCACAGCTCATCAGTGTGGCTAGACGTCCGGTTGCCTGAAGCTAGTTTCTAAACCCGACTGAATTGGCGCCAGTCGGGGATTCTACCACTAAGCCGTTTGCACAAGGCAGGGATAAATGTGAATTTAAGCGTATTTATTTTTAGATAAACACACAGTGACTGAGAGAACTCGATTCGATTTACCGAAGAGTCTTGCATTATTAGCCGTAGTAGTCACTGTTTACAAACCTACACCTCCTCCACAGCGAGCTCAACCGAAATAAATTTTTCAGGAGCATATATACATATATATATATATATATGATCGAAATAAAAGTATAAAATTTAATATTACAAGACATGTTAAAACAATATTAAATAATAAAAAAAAAAAAAAAAATCTCAACAACAAGGGGGAGAAGCAACCGGTTTCGCTCCCGCTCGTCTGGCTTCCACGGGAGATTCAAAAATTAAAACAGAGAAATGTACAATAAGAATAGGTGGAAAAAAATTACACACACACACACACACACACATATATATATATATATATATATATATATGTATTGTATATATATGCAAGAAGGAACTAGAGGCAGATGACAGCGAGTCCCAGCAAACACTCACGTTGTTTGCACAAAGAAGGCTTGCGGGACCCGATGTAAAGTGCCTCCAGAACCTTCAGATGAAATACAGAGTGTGATCGGGCCAACACGGTGAACCAGTCAACACTAAATTTGGCGGCACAATCTCTGCTATTTAAAAGATGTTCGCATATGGCGGAACTGTAGGTGTTCGGGACGAGTCCACTCGAAGGCAAGGTGTGGTTTCTAATTTTAGTAGGAACGTGTTGCTTTATTCTAGTGTCTAAGCGCTGAGTCGTTCTCCCTATGTAGTTGGCTCCGCAACTACAAACGTATTTGTAAACAATTGAATTAATATGGTGGGGAGGGAGAACGTCTTTACACGCAGATCGAAACATAGGCCGAGTTTGAAAAATAATCCGAACTTCAGCCGAGAAAAAGCAGCAGCGAACCTTTGATGAAATTTGTTTGGCCATTTTTTCACACTTTGTACCAATCTAAGGTAAACAGGGCATTTTTTGACCGTGTAGAGATCGGCACTTCTGAACTCTTCAACTTTACTCCGGATAACTGAATTAACAGTATCAAGAGGATAACCCAAATTACATAGGGTATCCTTAATAAAGTTAATTTCGTCGTTCAGGAAAGGCTCAGAGCAAATCTTTAATGCTCTGTGGAGGAGGGTTTTGAAAATGTTGATCTTGCGCTTAGTGGGACAAAAAGAGTCCCAACGCGTGTATAACCCTGCAAAAGTAGGTTTTCTATAAACGGAAGTAAGAAAACCTGTTAACGTGCGATGTACTAATACATCCAAAAAAGCCAATTGATGATTAGACTCTTTTCGATAGTGAACCTTAGTGCCGGATGGATACCATTTAAAAAACGAAAGAAACTGGTCAGCCTCAACTTCACCGTTAAATAAACAAAAGGTGTCGTCAACATACCGATAATACAGTTGAGGACAAAGTGGATTCTTTCGTATCTTTTCTTCCTGGAAGCCAACAAATATGTTAGCAAGTGCCGGACCCAAAGGCGAGCCCATAACGACTCCGTCGATCTGTCGGTACATAGTATTGTTGAAACTGAATTCAACGGAGGACGTTGCAAATCTCATCAATTCCCGAAAAATTGACTCAGGAAAACTAGGTGGAGTTAATGAACTGCGATAGAGATAGTCGCAACAAATATCGATGGTTTTGGTGATGAAATGTTCATTCCAAATGTTCGTCCACTGAAAGAAGTGAAAGCGATGGAAATTTACAATTTGAAAGTGTTTTGTTTTATCAATACAAAATTAAAATGTAGAAAATGAGTCGATGAACTTCGTAATCTTTCAGATAAGTTGTATCAGTTCTTTTTTTTTAATTAGACATTATTTCTTATTGCATATGATTAGTCCGGTAGAGTTAAATTTTACTGTTTAAAAAGTCGGGTTGTTTTCTCAAACACGTGCACATTCTAAATATACCGTTTATAGTAATAACAAATAATGTTGGATTAAAAAAATGCATTAATTGCTTAAAGATATATAACTAACTAGCAGTAGAGCCCGGCGTTGCCCGGGGATGTAACAGTAAGAGATAGATCAAGTGTCTACCATCATAAAGACTGAAAAATAAAATTGACAAAGATTATTGTTTAAGGTTGACGGACACGCATGTCTTAATTAGTTTTTTTTGTTTTGTTTTGTTTTTTGTTTTTTTACGAATTGGTCAAACCCAAACTCAAACAAAAACATTGTTTTCAATCGTTATGAGTCTACCGATTGAATGGAATTTTTCAATTTTATTATAAACAATTGTCTTGTAAATGGAATTTTTGAAGCATTCTGAATGTAAAAATAAAGAGAAAATTGTGCAAGACAATAAGAAACACTACCTGCTAAGTGAAGTTTTGTTGAAATCGGTTGAAAAATGTAGGAAATCCGATCCCCTGTATAAACGAACACACACACACACACACACACACACACACACACACACACACACACACACACACACACAACCTGGGTTTTATAATAAGTATAACTCTTTATGAGTTGTCCCCCTTTCATTCTGGCGACAGTGATGTTAATCGCGTTTTCAAATTGATTTCGTGCAAAAACAACTGTGTTTTTCCAATTTTTGGCGCTTTCAGAACCATCGCAAGGTAATTTTACGTAGTCCTGTGAAGTTTTGTTGAAATCGGTTGAAAAATGTAGGAAATCCGATCCAATATATAAAAGAACAGACACACACACACACACAACCTGAGTTTTATAATAAGTATGATAAGTTTCTGTCATTTGTCTCATGGATGAGTCAAAATTAAGAAATATTTCTGTCTTTTGTACCAAAAGAAAATTGATGACTTATACTTACCATATCGCGTTCTGAAACTGGGCCCATAGATCTAATCAAAATGTCAGCTTTAATTACAAGGGGGCCATCTGTAAAAAGAAATAAACTGAATTAAGATCCAAAAAATAAATAAGGCATTTTATACTAAAAGTTACCTTTCATGGCGTATGACGATCAATCCTATCTATCTATCTATCTATCTATCTATCTATGTTTTCATATTCTCTATTCTCGTCTGTTCATATCTTTAATCATATTTACTTACCAATATAAGTTTAATTATATACATTACCCCCCACCCACACACAAACATATATATGTAAATATAAAAGTGAACATTCATATCAACACATATATAGGCCTGATGATTGCGTATGAAACAGTTTGTCACCTCCGAGTGTTGACTTCAATGTTCACTTTTATATTGACATACGCACTATCTCTGATATTGAGCACTTTATCCCATAAATATAGCATACCTTAAAACTTTATATATGTAGCATACCTTAAAATATATATATATATATATATATATATATATATATATATATATATATATATATATATATATATATATATATATATATATATATATATATATATATATATATATATACGCAAAAGGAAGATGTCTGTGTGTGTATATATATATATATTGTGTATCTTAATTATATCCATCTTATGGATAGATAGATAGATAAGAACAGACTAAGAAAATGAAAGAGATTGAGGGGCTTTAAGAGATAAATGATGAACAGATTGAGATAAACAGACTAACGTAAGTTACTGAGGCATATATCTTCAAGTATTGTTTTTGAACGACATCGAGAACTGATTCGAGTTACGACATGCAAGTCATTAATCTCCTAGGTATCTTGCATTTAAACACAAACGTCAAGTCATTCGTCGTCCGGTAAGTCCTGCACTATCCACCTGTATGTTATACATCATTTACCCTCCTTCTAAAAACAATGATTGCCATATAACTGATCTGACTCTAGAAAGAAAATCAATAAATTAAAGTTATAAATGTTCATGGGTAAAAATGCTGAAGAGATTGAATAATGAAAAGGAAGCGTTTTCATTAAACCATAACGACTTGGTCAAGTGGTGCTTTTCCGCTGTCAATTAGAGAATCATTTACTTGTCCAAAATAACCACAATTCTTCGGTGCGTTGCCAACCACATTAGCCGACCTCATCATGTAAACATAGCAAGAAAAGTCGGACCAAGCAAGCACAGTAATTATAATATTCCCTTCATTTTCATTCGCCATCTGTTCAACCCGAGGCGAATTTCGGAGACAATTTTTTCTTTTTCAATCAGCTAACATTTAACGCCATTTTCCTGTCTGTGTTTATTTCAGTGGAAATTTACGAGGTCTTATTGGGCTTTAATTAGAGAAAATTTTTATTGGAGCAGATCGCAAATTTTCTCATGTGTAATAACAACGTGAAAATAGAATTCTTATTTGTATTGCATCGATACCTACATTCTGACACAGAATATTTTTATATCAGTGTAGATTTGTGTACAGTTTTCCTATTGTAAAAGAATGAGGTTTCCCATCATTAACGACTACCCAGGCAATGTAGAATCGTAATTATATATTTGTCTTTGGCAAACAATATATATATATATATATATATATATATATATATATATATATAGACAGCAATTTTTCATTAATTCATGTTTCATTAAATAATATAGACAAGTTTTGTCTATTTATTTTAAGTAAGTTCCTTTCATATTGTCTGATAAGCTTAATAACATTATCGTTGAAAGGCGAAAGGAAAACACCATATTGATAAATGTTTAAATCCATTCTAAGCTTTCGGCTTACACAAGCCATTATCAAAGATCACAATTTCAATAAATCAAACAACTGACAAAACAACAATGATAGTACGCCCTTGCAGCATGAAAATTTCAAGTAACAACAAATTCGTATATACGAGGCGCGGAATGCTGCCTGCCCGCGTACTCAATCCCGGAAAATACTTTTTGTTAACACAACTATACTTAAACATGAAAACATTAAACAAAAATTAAAAATTCTTGAAGCTTTATACATAAAACAGTTGAAACCTAACCTGAACAAAATAAACTATGAAATCTCCATAAATATCCTTAAATGTCTATAATTTATAACAGAAGCTATTGGTTTATACGAACTGCTTCCCATACTTAATACTTCTCGTTTTTCGCTCTCGCGTGGTCATGTGTGACTTCACGAGCTGCGACGCAATTTCCGCTTTCGCGTCTCGTATATACGAATTTGTCGTTACTTGAAATTTTCATGCAGCAAGGGCGGACTATCATTGTTGTTCGTTCGTTGTTGTTTGATTTCTTGAAATTGTCATCTTTGATAATGGCTTGTGTAAGCCGAAAGCTTAGATTGGATTTAAACATGTATCAATATGGTGTTTTCCTTTCGTCTTTCAACGATAATGTGATTAAGCTTATCAGACAATATGAAAGGAACTTACTTAAAATAGACAAAACTTGTCTATATTATTTAATGAATCATGCATTAATATATATATATATATATATATATATATATATATATATATATATATATATCTTCTTAAAATATATCTTAAAATGTACAGGGACTGTTAATAATTCATATGTTTACTATCTGAAAGTTAATTAAACCTAATAAAATACATCGCAATAAATTATCAACAAAAATATCTTGTTACTGTGAAATAATTTGCTTCAAGTCATAAATGCATGTCAAAAATATCTTTTTTCCTGAACTATATAAGACATGAAATAAAATCTCATTTATACATGATGATTTTCTCTTTCTTATCTTTATTTGAACGTATTTTAAAAAAATAATTTTCACGCAAAACCAAAATCTGCTATTAACAAAGTATTTATAAATGTTGTGAAACACTATAAATACATACATGACAGCTGTTAACTTGTTAGATGATCATTAACATTATTGACAATTTAAATCTATGATTATGGTTTTGAATTCTAAGTTTTCCTTCTTCTAGACTGTTTGCCAACCCCAGTTAGAGAGTCAAATCTGTCCTATTATTTAACCCATTGCTGGGAGTAGAAAAATGGATTCCTACTTTTCCCAAGTAAATGTAATGACACGACTGGAATTCGAACTCGGTTCTTCAACTTCTCATTTCGAATGAATATCCATTGCTTCACCCGCACACATACATACATGCTTTCTTTCTTTTTACAATTTAACATATCATCACATCAGGGAAGTAACCCACAGATGCATAAGGACACTACATGTTCTGCAATCATAGTAGCAGTGGTACGTCTAGGGCAACATTTGCCTGACAGCACCCATTCCTGTTTAGCGTGGTTTTGAATTTTCTTACACTGATTGTTACCCGAGTGCAAAAGTGTCCATTCAACCTTGCTACTTAGGTGGCGAGAGAAGAGACAGATTGACATTATACCCAAGTGTATTTGTATGAAATTGAACGTAACCAATTTGGTTGTAATTCGAACGCATATCCCCGATTTCTCTTTTCTGATTTTCCAATAACTCAGAACCTCGAAAATCACCTTTTATTACAACTCTGACACTAATAACAGAAGGACAACATTAAGCTCTAACACTGGACATAACACCACCAAACCTTCTCTTAGGTTAACTTGGCACTTATCGAAACTTAGTGTACTTTGTATGAATATCAGCTTTCAAGTCCTTAAGTATAATTATTAACATATAAGACAAATAAGCTGCCATGAAAGATTTCAAATACTTGAAGCTAATATGCAAAAGAAACAACCTACATTAAACACAAAATATTTCATCATTGGTGACGCATCTTAAAGGTGTGTAAAAAATAATATTTTTGTCTTCCGGCAATGTCTACATTTGTGATCCACAACGGATTAATTAAAAATTAAATAAATGTTTTAAAAAAATGAATATTTAAAACATATATCCTTTACATATAGTTATAAACCTTTTTTTTTTTACACATGACATCACATGCAGCGAATCGGAATTGTAGCGTTATTGAAACAAACTACGATGAAACCAATAAATTTGTTCCCTATAGCACTGGTAATATTAATGAAGAGAGAAAAAATATATAGCAAATTTCAACGACATCAATTTAAAGTAATTATTTGCTTTTAAGTAATGACATGATAAATTAACAAATTAAAAGTAGAAAGTTTTTGTAAATAATATTTTCTGAAATTGCTGTCACTTTGTGGTTAACGTTCTTAATAATGTTTTACTTTACTGCTAAGTATGTAAAAGAAGTTGTTAATAAAATGTTTCTACTAGAATTGTTGCAACTACGATGGATAATTTCTTTTTTATGCATTTTTTTGGAGATCGTGAAACCACATTTGCTTAAGTGGTCGTTGTGAAGTGAGATGTAAGTGTTGCTTATAATGCAACGAGAATGTAAAAAGGAATTGGTCACTTTTTAGATTTTCAATCCAGAAAAATCATCCTATGATGGCACAAGTAGATTTACTGACTTTCGAGAAATATAAAATCACTGTCGTTTATATAAGAAATAAAAAATGACGTGAGGAAAATAAATGTTACCGTCATAAAGTTCAAAGTATCGGCGACCTCCGCGTCCAATTGGCTAAAGAATGTAAAGATATGAGCTAATATGATATGCAATTACGAAACAAAAGGTAACCTAAATGTAATAATACATTAAAATTTATTAACATTTCATTGTTTTTAAAGCACAGAGAAGTGGGTGTTATTTGCCTGTCGATGTTATTTGGGTTTATTTACCTGGAAAAGATGTCAGTAGGTTTTATCGAATTGCATTCCCTTTGGTGCTAATACCCTTAGGGAATGTATAAACACATATTTACCTCCCTCCCCCAGATAAAAGTTAAATACAAGGGTAGATTGAAGTCTCTAGTCTTGGGTGGCAATCAGCTTACAAGAATAACAACTATGAATTGAAAACCGTGGATAAGACAACAGGAAACTACTCTGCTATTTTTCCAAATAATTTCTGACATTTCACAGATAAATAAAAAGATTCTGTGGCGTGCCATATTAAAAAAAAGAAGGTTTCTATCAAAAAATTCAGGCTAGGTTTCTATATCCGTCAAATGATATGAGCTTACAGGGGAAGATAAGGATGCCAAGCACACCGTTGGAACCATCAAAGCTTCCATTGAAATAAATAATATGCGATGGTGTGACAAATGGCGGTCCTAATCTCAAACGAGAGTCAAAACGTTTGGCAGATCTATAAGCTCAGAGAAGTCCTACTGAAGTACCATAGAGTAGTAAGGAGATAACTACAGATTTAAAATGTTAATTTTAATCTTCAAAGATACGTAAGGTGTTTTCCAGGGTCTGCGATACAGGCTTCCAAATGTTGAACTAGCCTTAGATATTCCTTGACTGAATTTCCAGGTCTGTCTGTCTGTCTGTCTATCTATCTATCTATCTATCTATCTATCTATCTATCTATCTATCTATCTATCTAATTCTACTTTACTCTCTCGCGCTGTCTCGCTATGTATATGATTCTCTTATGCTATCTCTTTTGGCCAAAAAAAAAAAATGTTTCTCTTTTCAATACACTAGATTTTTGAATCTTTCCTCTTCACAGCCCAGACACTGAATCAATTAAATGAGCTGTGGCCACACTGAACGGATGTTGTCACCAAAGTAAAAACTTGGCATTTGAAAAGAATGCAATCTTAGCTAGGACCATCTTATCCTGACTCCCTTGATAGGATAAATCGAGTGAGCGATTTTAAAATATCGATTGATATGAGTTTGTCTCTGACTTAGACTGTATCAAAAAACGAGGTTGTATTTCTGGGAAAATGGATTAAATACAAGAAAACTTACTTAGCGAGGGCTAGTGTAACATGGAACAGGAATCAGATGTTCCTCAACTCAGACGAAGAGAGAGGGGGAGAGAGAGGGGAGAGAGAGAGGGAGAAAGAGAGGGAGAAAGAGAGGGAGAGAGAAGGAGGGATTAAGAGAGAAACTCTGTTTGATTCTATTCTGCATTTCGCGATGATTTCTTTCTCTGGTTGCAAAGCATTTCAATAAACAAAAGATGTTGTTTAGGAATCTATTGAGAATTTGATCATTACAAAAATCGGTTCATGCTTATAATGCTATAACCGGCGAGGCTACGCATATTAGATACGAAGGTGCAGTAATAACTCTATATTCTAATGATAAAGAAACATTTATTTTATACAGTAATTATTTTTCAACCTAATTTCTTTTCTTTGTCAGTGCCCTTAAAAATCGCTTTTACATTCATCACATTAAGTATTATACAAAGCAAATTAGAAATTAAAATCTAATAACGGCGTGTTAAGTTATAGACACCTTGGTCAACCTTTGTCTCAATCTTAGCAACATTTGTAAATCGATGATTGTAGCATTTGTTTCTTTATTTTTTACTGGTGTAGGTATTTCGATTCCCTAGGAAGGAGACATCGACACCAAACCTTCTTAAGTATTCTATCTATCTATCTATCTATCTATCTATCTATCTATCTGCACGGGGGTTTATTTCAGATGAGTCAAAATTTAGGGTGTTATTTGTTTGCAATATTGAAAGAGAATTGGCACAAATACTATTTTTCATCATCTTAACTCTTTGGATGTTCCGCTTTCGAAGGTTTCTGTGGACATAGGTCGGTGTGGATCAGAACAGCTTTCTGTACGTTTTACTCCATACGGGATCGGGGAATGTTGGATCTTACTTTCTGGTGTTTTCCTTTTCTACAGAGGAAGTTGAAATAATTTTGAAAACTGCAGGGTGGAAGTGTTTAACTTCGCGATAAAAACAGCCCACAGAATTTTATTTACTTTTAAATAATTAAACAATATCTTATCCTTTGCCAAATATTTTAAGGAATTCGCGATATTTCCACCAATTAAATTGTAAAATTTAGGTAAAAAAATACATCAACACACACACTTATATGCGTATCAGTTGACATAGAATTATATAATTATACGCACAAATGTGCATATGTACACACACACACATACACACATATATACACACACACACATATATATACACACGCTCATAGATATATATATACACACACACACACACATATATATATACACACAAACATATATTTACACACACATACACGCACATACATACACACGCACACACACATATATATATATATATTATATAAGAGAAAGAACAGATGGAGTAAAAATCTACAGTTCGTAGCATTTACTTTTTAAGTGCTCAATACAAAGTAGAAGAATATATATTCATACTGTATTTTTATAAATACAAATGTTTAAGTAAATGTTCTGTTTATAATAAACAGTATTAACAACATTTACCGGCCTGAATGTCAGAGAAATGTCATAGAAAATGTGTGTCCTCTGAATCAAACCTGTATCCTATAAGAATACCATTATATATCCTGACGTGCTATACTATTTAGCTACAGAAGAAGGGGATGATTAGCAAGGTCGAATTACTGCTTTTAAACAACAAATTTCCCATGATTTCTCTAACCAGACATCTCATCTGTAGATAAATAATATAGCACGTCAGGCTATATGACGGTTCCATGTAGGATACAGGTTCGATTCCTGTCGGAGGAGACATATTTTCTATGAAATTTCTCGAACATTCAGGCCGGTAAATGCTATTAATACTGTTTATTATAAACAGAGCATCTACTTAAATATTTGTATGTATTAAAATAACATATAAACAATGAATATATTAAAATAATTGTCGGACTTAGTCCATTTCATTATATATATATATATATATATATATATATATATATATATATATATATATATATATATATATATATATATATATATATATGAACACACACATACATGTATGAGCATTCATATACATCCACATAAGGATATTCATATGTATATATAAAACACAGACGTATATATTCGCTTACATATGCATATATATATATATATATAAACTTGTATAGACATGTACATTTATATACTCACACAGGTACATGAATAGAAATAAGCTAATGTTATCTAATTGTACATCGGCATACCATTGAACAATTAGAAGAGGATAGTCAGGTACACAAACAATACATGTGTGTGTGTGTAGAATCAATCATGCTGGGCCTTTAGTAGCAGTTGGTGACCATCTTTTCTTTAAGTGGCATGAAACGGCTAGTGCTAAGTGATATGTAGTCAGCAGTATGGAAGAATACCTAACATGATTGCTCTTGTAATCTCAAAGGATTTTGGGTTCTTCATGGCAATAAAAGAAGTGATCTAGTCTTCTACTCTTCGTTAGGAACGAAGCAGTGAGTAACCATAGGGGGGCTGAATATATGATCAGACTGCTAGCCGTCATGACGTACCCGTGACATCTAGGAAAAATACGCAGGTTAAATCAGATTTGTTCCTTTTTTTCAAGAATATTTGTGCAACTTGAGCTCATGTTCTTAGCCGAATATTGAAATCGATACATATTTTCGACACCATTGCCATAACCATCACCAACACATTTCATCGTACGCTAGTAACGGGAGATGCGCACCACGCGCACGTCGGAGGAAGGATTGCTGCGCGTCTTCGTCTTCGTCTCGTCTGTGTGTGTGCCCGCACGTGGTGCATCGAACGCCGGCTCACTAAGCACGACCGGAGATTGTACGAGTAGACGCCACTCCTAGCCGACTTAGCCAGGCGAAGTCCCCGACTTATCCTGGGACAACTTTTGCTTTTTGTACTTTTTGGCCAATGACACGGTGGCGCTGACGCGCGCCCGATGACGCCGTCACGTCGTTGCGCGTCCGAACTTTGTCGATCTCGATCGCTCTCTAAAGGCCTCTCGAGTTCTGTCGATCATACGCCAGTACCGGGAGATATACTACTCGAATAGGCACATATATGTACATATAATGATACTTTTCTAAGATTTAAAATTTAGAGAAATTTAAAAAAATAAGCTATTTTCATTATTAGAGAGGAACACAACTGTCTTCATTGACCCATTCTTTCATTTTTTATCTACACACCTCACCATCGCACACATATATACAGCTGTGTTTTTTGCAAGTTGATAAACAATCCTATTATCAATAAGAAATTCACTTTCAACTCTCGCTGTTGCATATCATGTGTTCGTATGTGGCGATTGATATTTAAAAATGATTATTTGAAGCAATAAAATCTTTGGAAAACAGTTTGTCACCTTTTGTAATTGGTCACAGACTTATTTAAAAGCAGACGCTGGAAACCCTGACTTGTAAGTGAAGTTTCTGTAAATATCATTGCTGAAAAATCACCAGGCGAAATTTCACTTAATTCATGGAGATAAATAAATAAAAGTAACAACTATCAAACTCGGAGGTATTAAAGAATTCAAATACATCGTATATAAGTCGATTTAGTGTACAGATGGACCCTTGGATTTTGAGTTAGATTTAAGTTAAATTAAATTGGGATGGAATATAAAATCATTTGAAGAGATTATCATTAAAAATATTGAATTTATTTCTCCCAATAGACTGATGATTACCAGATAGATGATCGATGATAATGAAGATGTTAAGCGTACATTCTGTTTGAAATTGAACAGTCGTAAATTACTGTTTCATCTGCGTAAAGTAAAACACAACTTTCTATTACGGACTGCTACATATCTTTTGATTACTGTTAGTAATTAAGCATTTCACCAAATATTTTCATTTTACGGCTAAGAGCTATTCTTAGATGTTCCAACTATATTTCAAATTTTAAAAATTATAATAATGTTTAGCGTGATAAATAACTAATATTGACTTGAACACCAGTAGACGTAGTATTTGATTCATCGTGCTAGAAGAAGAAAAAAAGTACAACCCGCCAATGTTACATGTGTCAGGTCAAAAGAAATACGATAATGACTTCTATAGAATTAATACTGTGGTCAGTTTTTAAGAACGTGATGTCCAAAAATTACATTCTTGCTGTTTGCTTTGTTCGCTGGAAATGAGACGAATACAATATCGAAATACGTCTAAGAGAAAATATTAAAAAAAAACTTTTCACAGACATTCTTTTACTTTTTCTACATTTTTGAATAGTTTCTTTTTGTGGGGGGGATTGGGTTGTCTGTTTTCCCTTCAAAAGTGATAGTCTGATAGTATTTCAAAATGTAATTTTATCACAGTAATATGTGATAACGAGGTGGGAAGCTGAACGGTGAACAGCAACTCCGAAAATATAATCGGTGAGTCGAGTTCAAATTCCAGCTGCAATTTGGCAAAGCATAAATCTCTGCGTTAGTTATGGCTGAAATAGCAGGGTAAATGGGACTTTCTAGCTTTGATTGGCAAATCAGTGTTTGTGAGTTATAAAAGCTTCCACGCATTTTGAATATTTATTAAACTTTTCTTAAAGCAGGAATAGAAAGATTGTGTTGGAGCTTTGTTTTAGGTAGAGAAGACTTGTTTGCTTTAGAATTAAGCATTCTAATTTATTTTTTAAATTAGCTCAGAAGACGTCCCCTGACCGGGGATAAAGGACAGGTATCTTAGCCATGAAGCTGAATACAAAAATCTTAAATTTATTTGATTATTTTTATTAAGATTGATTCTAAAACGATCTTTGTTCGAAATGTCTACCTTAATATAAATTCTCATGAATATTAAGGAATATCAAGGGGAATCATTACCAAATATTTTATATCTGTTTTCTCCTTTAACTTTATATATAATAAATACTTTTAACGTGTGATCTCTTATAGACGTCAGAGATGATGCTGTGAACTTGAATATGAAAGGCGTATTGGTTGAATAAAATCGACTAGAAATTCGAACATTTTGCTTAATTACATACAAGGCACTTCTAATCGATAAATTAGATAAAACCTTAAGTTACAAGTAACTTCAGTATCGGGAATCTTACTGTCTGAGCCATTAGACTTTTGATGACTCACTTAAAGTGAGGTTTTCGTACTGATTTTGTTCATGTGCGTGAGCGTGTGGACGTGTGTGTGTGTGTGTATGTGTGTGTGTGTGTGTGTGACAACTCAGAGGGACTTGGGAAATTGATTCAAGTTAATGAACTTGAAATGAATAAGTAAATAATTAGAATCTGAACTGATATCAATAAACAATTCACATCTTTCAGAAAAATGATCGACTATGTTAACCAATAATTGTTGATCATATTTTGTATTTTCACTTTATTTATATTGCATTATTCCCTGAATTTCTACAAGGCGGGGGTCAGGCAATAAAAACAGAGTAACGATCTTTTAAAAAGTTTGGAAATTAATAAATGATTTATACGTAATTAACTACTTAAACGGAGAAGACTGAAATATTGTCAAAATTTATATGAATAAATTTTTATAAATATCAAAATGTTTTTGTCTTACACGATTGATGAGTTCATTGAAAATCATCAGAGATCTTCGATTCTGTTTTATTTCACAAAATCGAGTCAAATTTGGAAGCCTCTAAAAATAAGAAGTAAATTAATGATGTTTTTCACTAGCAGCTACAAATGCAAAATCATTTGTTCCGAAGACAATATCCCAAATATGCAAAAAATACGTTGTAAGACTAACACATGCATCATAATCAGATTTAAACTACAAATGAATAAATTCAGAATTGTTTTAGTAAATAGTTTTATTATCTAAATATGTGCAAACTTAGAGAAAAATAAATGCAATTTCCTTGCCTGCATTTAATTCGTTAACGAAAAATTGACACTGAAAGAATTATCAGTCCTAAGTTCACTTCCGTGTGGTATCCAGAACTTGTGTTGTAGTTCTTGCCATTTTTCTATTTTTAAGAAATAGTTGGTACGAGAAGAATTGATCGATTTATTCATTTTTTACAGCTTATCAACTGCTTGCAGGTTATTTGAAGTCAGAATTTTTTTTTTACATTGTAAGAATTTTTTGGAAGATAATAGTTTAGTGAGACAAGTTTTACTAATTAACACATAGCTAGGGGTAGAAGAGGTGTATTCATACCTTTCCCAAGTGAATATAACGAACCCAACGGGAAATGAAACTCGGCTCTTCCATTAACAATTCCGAGTCATTGTACACATTACATCACCTGCCCACAAAAACTTACAGCACCTGGTATTCTGATGCATGTCCAAAAAGGTGGTTGGAAACTGCAAATGAATTTATATATTAGTTGCTGTTATTATTATTTATATTTTTCTTCTTTTACAAGCCATATTTCTGTAGAAAGTGAGCGATCATGGCTCTCCACAACTTTAGATAATGTATCTTTTGTCATTTACTACCAAGTCGATTACAAGCATCATTTAAACATCTGAAGTAGTTCTTTCTAAACTCTATTAACTCATTTATTTATTAGGAAAGTGTTTAACTTTCAGATAATAACCGGGATTGAGGATAACAAACAAATCGCGTAGTCATTTTGGCAACTGTTCGATTCTGGATAAACTCTGACTTTATACATAGTTTTTTGCTATTTAAAAAAAATCCTGACCGCTTCTAAAAAGTTGTTAGAAGTATACAACACAGTTCCATGAATCTTGTCTAATTTCACTTGTTTTATTTGCTTCTGTGTCGATGTGTATGTTTGTCTGAGAAAATATAAGTGAACCGCTCAAACAATGACGTTGAGCGCTCAGGGCACCATCTTGTGGGACGGCCATGTTTTGTTTCTCACAGGCGAAATACGTTAACGTGGATAGAAAAAGAGAAGTATTTTTTGTGTTGTCGCTAAATTCTGTTTTTTCAGACAATTTATTCTTAATTTTCAGATAATAATATTTTATTTACTCGATTATTTTAAGCATACCAGAATGCAAATCGTAGAATAAAGTTGCTTCTCTTTGGTAAAAATGGTTAAAGAAGGGGAAAACAAAAACGAAAAATTGTATATATACAGATAGAAAAAAATAAAAGTGAAAACAATTTTAATTGCTTAATCAGAGACAAAAAATAAATAAAAACGAAAGAAAAATGGAAATAATCAATGATGATAATAACATAATATTAGAATTTAATGTATTTTAAAAACAAACTCTGTTCAAAATAATGCCATGAATAACTAATAGAGCTATATGGCGTTATCAGGATATTTAGAACGATTTTTGTATTTCTTATTGATTTTGATGCTAATTCAAAAAATATGAATGCAAAATTAGAAAAATCTTTTAAAAACATTATGCACAAAGAAAGAAAAAGAAATATCCTTGTTAATTCGATCTTTTCCTATCACTACGAAATCAATACAAACGACAAACATGAGAAGTAAAAATGATTCAATGGTTAAACAGAAATAAAAAAAATGTCGCACGTTAACAACTTTCGCAAAAATTTTAAAAAATCCGGTAAAACTCTCTCGTTATTTATTATAGTTTTAATTAAATGAACATGGATGATTTTTAACTAATTCTAAATGACTTTATTATTTTATTTGTTAACTAATTTCAAATCACTTTATTTACATTTTGATTTAATATTCAATGAAAATAACCATGTTACTATGTATCAATTTTCGAAATATTTTTCCTACTATCTTTTTATGTAGAGTGTAAAATATGGGTTCTCAAATTAATGTTGGCCATGGCAATGATAACATTAAAAGCAAAATGAACTGGAATCTAAAAGCTTTCATAGGCCAAACTTAAATTTAGTTTTGCTGTTTGTACATAAAGCGTCTTATTTAATTAAGA